GGATCAAGCTATTATATTTAGGTACTTCTTAGAAATAGTTTCTGCTTGCCTTAGCTGGAGCCAAAAAAGCCAAGCAACTAGAAGCCAGGATTTCAAGACACTTTTCTCTGAAGCCAAAGCCAGTTGTTCATGCTTATTCACACTGCCTCTTGTTTCTCCAGCTGTAAAGGCATTGAGATGCTTTCCATTAGGAAATTAAAATGTATAAGCTGGGAGTGAAGCTCAGTGGCAGAGTGCTTGCCAAGCATATGTGAGGCTCTGGGTTTGATCCCCAGCACTGCCCCCCCTCCAAAAAAAAAAAGAAAGGAGAAAAAGGAAGGAAGGAAAGAAAATCAAAATGTAAAGGTTATCTTAAAGCCACTAGCATGTTGAGTCTACATTCAACTGGTTGTGGTGGCATTTACCTATAATTCCAGTGATTCCAGAGGCTGAGACAGGAGGATTGCAAAGCCTCAGCAACATAGCAAGACCTTGTCTTAAAAAAAAGAGGGGCTGCGGTTGTGGCTCAATGGTAGACACTTTTCTGGTGTGAGGTAGTGGGTTCAATCCTTAGCACCATATAAAAATAAATAAATATAATAAATGTGTAATGTCCATCTACAATTTAAAAAAAAATTAGAAAAGGTTGGAGTAAAATAAAACAAAAACAAAAAGCTCAGTAAAAAGCTAGAGCACCCTCTAGTACTATCCTCCCTCTTACCAAAAAAAGAGTCCACATTCATTGCTTTTTCCATTTTTTTTTCTGTCTTTTAACAAGAAATATTTGAGAAGGGAGATCTATAATCACTTGATAACCAAAATTTTTTTGTGTGTGCTTTTTTGAAGGTACATGGGAATAGGACTCTCAGCTCAAGGAGTCAACATGAACAGACTTCCTGGTGAGTCACTATTGCAGAGAACATATGTTTTGCTCTCCTGATCCATCCATTAGAATTACAGCAGCAGTTGAGAGTCTGGGAAGGACTTTGTTTGCTGGGTGCCTATTTCAAGCCAAGCCATTGAGGGGAGGATCCTGAAATTGGCCATTGGGCTGAGATAGTGTGGCCTTCCATTCCAAAAATTAATTGATGAGTGATTGTCATTCATGGAATTTGAACTGTTTGCAGTCAAAACCAAGTGACCTGAGCTTGCCTCCATTGAGGATACACCTTAGTAGCTCTCACTCTCATTGACTTTTGCCTATCGGCCTGGGACTCAGGCATGTACTGGGAGGCATGTACTTCAAGCCTGGCTTCTTTGTTACTACTCTTTGTTAAAGACTTTGATCTTTAAGTGGCTTCCCATGTGGAATGTGGTTGAAGTGATTTCTGAACAAATAGATAAGAGTTAAGATGTCTGTGTTTGTAGCTCTTGAGTTGACAGCAGCCTTGGATTAGTGAAATGTTGTGGACCTGTAGATGGTTCTTATTCTACCAGCCCCATACCTTTTCAACTATTTTCTGCCCAGTGGGGCTCATGCCTGGTCCTGGCCTGAGCACAGCTGAGGAGTCAGAAGTCTCCACCATGAGCTGATAGGTTCCAGATGATGGCCCTAAGTCCATTTGTCCCTTGAGTGGCAGAAGTGACATATTGTAAACTGCCCTGATATCAATGTGGAGGTATGTAAAGATTTTATGATTTTGCCCCGACCCTCTATTCTTTGTGCTGTGACACAGAGAAGGCAACTAGCTTTCCCAATAGGGAATAACACCTCAATTTTTTTTTTTTTAAAGAGAGAGAGAGAGAGAGAGAGAGAATATTTTTTAATATTT